GGCAGTGGGGGTGACCTAGAAACGTTTCAGGCCTTGCTTCATCCCAGCAGACAGCCTGGAGTGCCGAGTGCGGAGCTGGCAGTGCCTGCGCTGGGCCCCCACCTCCTTCCACCACTGCTCACCTTCCCTGCTGTGTTCCTGGGCAGGTACAAAAGGAAAGGGCAGGTGAAGCAAGAGCACGCGACGGGGGCTGCGGATGGCCAGCTCTCCGTCCTCCAGCCCAACACCATCAACGTCCTGGCTGAGAAGCTGAAGGAGTCTCAAAAGGATCTTTCCATACCCCTGTCCATCAAGACGAGTGGCGGGGGGGGCGGATCGGCAGCCCTTCAACTCCCCGCTGCGCTCTCCCATCCGCTCAGCCAACCCCACCCGCCCCTCCAGCCCCGTTACCTCCCACATCTCCAAGGTGCTCTTCGGCGAGGAGGACGGCCTGCTGCGTGTCGACTGCATGCGCTACAACCGGGCCGTCAGGGACCTGGGGCCCGTTATCAGCACCGGGCTGCTGCACCTCACAGAGGACGGCGTGTTCTGCCCGCTGGCTGTTGCAGGTAGCTGCCTGCCAGCTTTTGGGGGGGTGGCATCTCCCCTGCGGTGACGGGACGGTGTCCTTTGACTTCGGGAGTGGATGCCAGTCCTTTGCCATGGCTCCTAACGGTTCCTTCTCCTGTGCGCAGATGGGGGGAAAAGCTCCCCCCCTTCCATCAAACCCGGTGAAGAGGCCCCGGTCGCAATCAAACTGGACGAGAAGGAGGGCAGTGAGGCCAGTGACAGCAAAGAGAAGGTGGGACTTGGCAGGACCAGTGATCACCCTGGGGGGGAAAAGTATTCTCCCAAGGTGAGTTTTGTGCTGCGGCAGCCCTGGGAACGTGGAGCTCCCTGCGCTCACCCAGAGACGCAGCAGCGCTGGCAGTGACCGAACCGCATGTGCACGCTGTCCCACTCGCGTGTCGCCGCAGCCGTCCCTCGAGGCACAGGGCAGTGCAGGTTTTGTGCCTTGCGTCATCTCGGGGACATTTGCCTTGGCAGTGGGCAGAGCCGCTGCCTCCCGCAGCCGAGACATTCGGTGTGCTGTGCTCTCCTTTGGGCCGGGGGGACCCTGCACCCCCAAATCCCAGCCTGCTGATAACTTTACTGCCTGTCTCTGCCCTCCAGCCAGAGACAGGAGCAGGGTCGGGCGGCACAAGCGTATCAGGGCTCCCTGGAGGACAGCTGGCTAGAAACTATTTTACTCAAAAGGGAAGTCTTCAAGTTTTGTTATTGGGAAGAACCAGGCCCTGGGGTGTTTCTCAGGCATGCACACAACCCTCCCCCTGTCCCAGAGAACCAGGTACACGGGGCTGGGCCAGGCTCGGGCAGAACCCAGCTCCCCTGGGGCTGGCTGTAGTGCTGGCTGATTGATCGCCCTCTGGCTCAGAAATTCCCTACGATGAACTGCTCTTCTCCCCCCACCCCCCCAAGTGTTTTTTGCTTTGATGACTCCTCCCTTTCCCAGCAGAGAGGAACACCCACCAGCTCGTCCCGCTGGCTCCTGGGCTGCAGCAGGGGTCTGTCTGCTCACATTTGCTCTGCTTCATCCTGGCAGGAGCTGCTGGCACTACTGAAGTGCGTGGAGGCAGAGATTGCGAACTATGAGGCCTGCCTGAAGGAAGAGGTGGAGAAGAGGAAGAAATTCAAGGTACGTTTGTTGATGGCTTGTTCGCGTTGCTGATTTAGCTCCCTGAAGGCTTCTGTCTGGGGTGTCTTTATGTCAAAGTAGAGGGAGGGTGTTTCAGCTGAGAACGGCCATGGGGAGCGTTCGGGGTCCCTTTCCTGTTACCAAACAGCCCTACGGGGCAGAGCCCCCCCCGCAGGACAGACCGAATCCCCTGGGCAGCACTGACTAGCTTGAGGAGGATGGTGGAGCACTGCAGCTGGGCCACAGCTGAACATCAGCCCTGACAGGAGGAAGGGGGGAGTCTCTGCCCCGAGGCCTGGCAGGATTCCTCCCCTGCCCACCCTCGCCTCTTCCCAGCTGCCCTTTGTGGAAAATGCTGGCATCCGAACTGGGATGGAGACTGTCCCAGTTGCGCACTGGCCTGAGCTGGGCTGGGAGCTGGGTCCCTCCTCGCTCTGTCTCCTTGGCCTGTGGGATGGGCCAGGCATGCTGGTTCTTTGCCCCCTGTTCCCCTTGAGCTCTCCTTTCTCCCTGCCACCTGTTTGGATTATTTGTGGATTTGTCATCTCTTTACAGATCGATGACCAGAGGAGAACCCACAACTACGACGAGTTCATCTGTACCTTCATCTCCATGCTGGCCCAGGAAGGTGCGTGCTGTGCAGCCGAGGGGACGGAGCGTGGGGTTCAGGTTCAGCTGGAGGAGCTGCACTGAGCGTGGCAGAGCAGCAGCTGTGAGCCTGGGAAGCTCACCCTGCCCCGATCTCTGCTTCTGCCAGACCCGGGGCACGAGGTAGCGCTCAGTCTGGGGAGCCACGTGTCTCTGCTCTGTGTCCTCATTTTATAGTCCCAGGAGGAGCCCAGTGATGGGTTTTGGGCGAGAGAGGGAGGGCTGCACTCTGCTGTGGGCAACACCAGCACTCCAGCGTGGGACATGGCTGTCTGCCTCTCCCCCTGCAGGCATGCTGGCAAGCCTCGTGGAGCAGAACATCTCCGTCCGCAGGCGGCAGGGAGTCAGCATCGGCCGTCTGCACAAGCAGAGGAAGCCGGACCGCCGGAAACGCTCCCGCCCGTATAAAGCCAAGCGTCAGTAGCCTGGGAGTCAAGACTGTGAGAAGCAGCAGCTGGGCTTTGCGGCTTTGGGCAGTGGCACTTGGATCTATGTTACCCTTTGCCCAAGGACGAGGGACCACAGTGACAAGCTCTCAGCCGAGGTGGAGCCTGGGGACAAAGGGAAATCGGGTTTTCCTCTGAGCCCGAGTTGTGAAGGGCGGGAATATGTTGTCTTGAGGGGAGTCCCTGCAGCTGCAGCAGAAGGCAAGCCGGAGTGCCCAGCTGCCTGACTGTGCCACGGCAGCGCCCAGAGGCCATGGGCCTGTGTCTCGGCGCTGTGGCTGAGGACTGCGGCAGGAGGGGAAGAGCCCACCCGGCCGGTGACGGGTCTGGTGGTGTGGGAACGCCAGTGATGCCGATGCGAGGCTGTGCTGGCCGCAGCTGGCTGTAGCTTGTGTCCTCCTGCGTCTAGGCCTTCAGCTCTGTGCTTCCCCAGGACACTCACGTCTGTGTTTTCTATCCCTCTCCCTCCCTTCCCCAAATTTATTTTTGGTTCTGACCCTCGCTTTGGCCGTTGCCGAGCAAGGCGGCGCCTGGACAGAGCCTGTTCTGCATCCACCCCCCGCTGCACCGCCCAGCTCCCAGAGCTGGCCGACGCGTGGCCAGGCAGTCCTGCCTCGCCCTGCCCTCACTGCTCTGGGGATGGCAGCAGGGGATGCCGAGGCTCCCCCGTGGGCCTCGGCAGCTCTGTTCGCGCATGAGGACGGGGGGGCTCGCACCTGAGGCCGGGCCC